ACACAAAGGAGTACAGGTTTATAACCAGAAAGACTTGCATTGTGTACTGTCTGATCACTGGGTACTGGAGAAGTGACTTCAGTTTGTATCCCTGAAGGTTTTTTTTATGTCCGAAATAAGGATAATGTTACTCACCTAATTTGTGAAAAGTGTTGAGATCTAGTGATGTGGTTTGAGACCTAGTGATGTGTGTGGTAATGAAATTCCCCTTTCTCTTAGGGTATTCTGTTCAAAATAGACCGATATCGTGGGTGCATTTGTGCCCATTTCTCCCTTTTCTTAGTTACAGTGCTCCCTTTTTTATTTTCCTACCTAGAGTTGTTGGGGATTTTGTTCATGGATTCGTGTAGCTTCTGTCTATAAAGGCTTCTGACTTAAAGTGGGTTTTACTGCTTCCCAAAATAGTTTCCTGAGTGACTGCCGCAAGCCTGAAAAGCATGAGCAGGGAAACCTCTCTGCTTATGATTAGAAGGATCTATTTTTAGCAGAGCATTAATTAGAGATAATAAAGGAAAAACTGCCACATATCGTTCCCTTGCAAGAGACTGCTGAGCTGCTTGATCCTTCCCCCAACTCTCCTAACCCCGTGCAATTGGCTGGCAGCGCTGCCTGCTTCGGCGGGGAGACCTTTAAAGACAGAGCACTATTTCTTTTGCAAAACCGTTGCCAGGCTAATCTCACAGCTCCCTGTGGCTTTCACCAGCAGTTTCATGTTGCAGTTCTGCCTAGGTGATAGTAGTGATTTCTTGCAATCCCAAATAACTCCTGCAGCAAGGTGTGCTAGTGCTCTGCTGTCACTGCCTTCACAACTCGCTTGGACAGTTCGTGGGAGCCTGTCTTCATGAGGAGCACTAAAAAGCCACATCTTCCAGAGCTGTGTTGAGGAAATCCAAGCAGCATTAATAAACTGCTGGGTTTATCAGAGGCCGCTCTGTTGTGGGGGCCAGCGGGTAGGGCGTTATATAAGGCCCAGCCTAAGCTGGTCCAACAGCAGTTGTAGAGAGTGATGTGCTTAGTCCGTGCAGAAAAGCCATGTTTATCCACCCCACCACTGTGCTTCACCTGCCTGCTGCTGCCAGTCACCAGCACGGCCTGCCTGTTCTCAACTTCCTGTGCTGAAAAATGTGCATTTTTTACCTGAAGGTGCTTCGTGGCTTTGACCTGTGCTAGATATTGGCCTGTTTTGTTAGCAGAACAAGGACTGGAAGAGGATGCAATAGCAATGGAGAGGAGAGCAGAAATACATGGCAGTCTGGACAAGCAAAAGGCCTTTCAGTAATGTGATTGGGAGCCAGAAGAAAAACAAAGCCAAAACAAAAACTATATAGAACATTAAATAAGGGCTTGGCTTATGGAAATAATGTTCGGTGAATTGTCAGCAATTGTTAGTGTAGCCTTCCTGACTCAGGAAGCCCTGCCAGTCTAGGTAATAACTTGAACATCACAAATGACACTGTGAAGTGGACAAGTTTTAGCTGTTATTTAGCAGAGGAAAAATGAAATGCTTGGCAGCTTTGCTCACACAGAAACAATGGGAAACAAACTGTGAACAATCCAGAGAGAATTTCGAGTCTCTTATCTTTGATGAGACCCCTTTGTGCACATGCTCATTCTCAGCTCCCTGCTGCACACCGACGTCCTGTTGTGCTTTCTCAGTGGGGTTTCTTTTCTCCCTTTGCTCAGGAATGTTCGTTCCCACACAGAGAACCGAAGGGATCTCGACATCAGATATCATCACACGGATTGTCCGGGATTATGATGTTTATGCTCGACGCAACCTCCAGCGAGGATACACAGCCAAAGAGCTGAATGTTAGTTTTATAAATGTAAGTGCCCTCACCTGCGTTTGCTCTGGAAAGGGGGTGTCTCAAGAGGGCGACCTTGGAGCAAAGGCTAAAAGAGCATATCTGCCTCCTGTTGCTTTTAAAGTGGAAGACGGAGGTGAAAAAAATAGTTTAAAGAAACAGGTGAGTTGAGGATTGTTTTAACTAGTGCTAGTAATTAGCAGCTTCATTTCTATCCAACAATTTGATGCTTGTAACAGAGATTTTTGCTCCATGATTCTCCTTGAGCTGCAAGTGGCTGAGTGTCAGGAAGGAAATCGAGCCCCAGCCCTAGTGCCCTCAAGCACTGGTCCAAGAACTGACTCTGTTTTCATTTTGAGAAGACAGCATGGATTCTGATATCTAAGCTCTTTCTTTCCAAAGTAACAAAATAAAAATAACAAAACAAATGGCCCAGGAGAAGCCTCTTAAAACACGGGGAAGCTTGTTAGGAAGGCAGTGTCTAAATGACACTGAAGAGATTAGAAATCACAATATGCAGTGGAATTGGTAGGGCAAGGGTGCCGCTTAAAAGGATTGCTCACAGAAGGTAACAGCTCAGATTATGCAGCTTTCACATACAGAACTGCACCTTATCCTCCAGTAAAGAAAAAATATATAGCAGAAATGAATGTACTTTATCTTCTGTTTCAAGTCTTAACTGTTAGGCCTGTGGAAAACCCACATTACTGAAAGTTCCTTGTGATTGGGTTCCACCACAGAGGACTTTCATTTGGGAACTAGGAAATCCCTTATGGCAGACTAAGTTGTGTCATTTTGTGAGTATTTTGTTTACTTGCTTCTTATTTTAAGAACACAGGACGTACATAAATATTTATGTCAGTATTCTTCTCTTTTCTACGTCTCTCTAGTACAGTTCAGTGCTTCCGATATATTTAAAATTTCCTGCTGTAAATATTCCACCCGTAGGGATCCCAATTGCAAACATCCATTAAATTAAGGCACTCTGGATGCAAACTTCCCTTTGGGGTTCTCAGATATATTCTTTAGCCGTTATGAGGTTAAGAAAATGTTACATAACTTATGCTCCTCCCAAACCAAAGACACTGATATATCCAGACATTTGGTTATTTAGCTTATAGTAATTTAAATGTAGAAAGAAATATTGCTTTTCACCAGAGGCTTTTTGTGTTTTTTTTTTAAAAAAAACCAACGTTTTCAAGATAAAAAAGAGTTGATTTCTCAAATAGCTAAAGTAAGATTTAGCTATTTGGTGTAGTTAAAGCAAGTGAGGTTTCTTCAGGTTTTATTGATTTTGCTGGGCAAAGACATGTCCCCGAGTCACTCTGAATGTTTGCATCTGCTGTTGCTTTGAAGTGCTGCCTTTTCATCTATAAAATATCATGGAAGTGTTAATTCTGTGAAGCATTTGGCATTGAACATAAACTGCTGAAAAATATCGTGGGTATATTTTAAACTTCTAATTCAGTGTGCTTACATGCTGGAGAGTCAGCATGAAAGGGCATTTTAAGCTTTTCTCGAATTGATCGTCAGCGCTTCTCAGATTCAGAATGACAGGCTGCATTTGCTAGTGAGGTGTGCCAGTACAACAGGCATGTAAATGCTCACTGTTTTGGTATATGTATTTGTATGGCTACATTTTTCTTTTCAATATTGTATTCAGTGATTTTTTGAAATATAAAATAACATTTCTGTACGTGACCTGAGACATAGAGACCAAGCTCTGCATGTTTTTGTTATAAAGATCTACCATTGGGCTTTCAGCAGTTCTTCTAGAGGAACATGAGCAAGAATAACCCCCAGCTCCATCTCTTTCCTCAGCAGTAGATGTAGCAAGTGCAAAAAGAAAGCAGTAACACATAAGTAGCAAAATCTGTGCAGTCAGAAGACTGTACTGCATATATCTGAGCCAAAGGCCTCCTTAAGCTGCTATATAGAGTATAGCACTCACACTGTAGCAGCTAGACATGAACTACTGTGGAACTATACAGCATATTTGTTAGAAGTAAATTAAAGAGTCAGTTAAAAATCACAGAAAACTAAAAGCTGACAGTGAGCTGTGCTTCTGCAGGAGTTGTTACATCTTCAGGTACCTTTTTAGTGAGTGCTGTGTTCTTTACTTCTAAGGAGCAGAAGTTTCAAGACGAAAACCTTCAATCCCAAGTATTTTTCGAGCTTGGCCAGACTGGAGCTCCCTAACAGCACCATCTCTTTCCAGCTCCCTTTTTTTTTTTTTTTTTCCTTCTGTAGCACTCAGCAATTAGGAGTCTGCTCTCTCTTCTGTTAAGTTAGCCGTCTACAAGTGACTGGCCTGTGCACATCTTTCTGTTACAGGCAGAGGCTCCCATGTTATCCAGAGTTGTAGGTGCCAGAGGTCGTCTTCTGCCATGAGAAATCTGGCCAAAGAGGCACTTTGGGCCAAGCTGCAAGCCGTGATGGCAAGTCAGCACTGGGATGCTCTGCAAGGAAACACAGGGAAACTTGCCTTGGGTACTACTAAGTTTGAGCTGTTACTTTCTCATTTGTGTCATAACAAGATTCACCTAATTTTTAAGGAGTCCAGCCAGTTTGAAAATGTGGAAAGATTCTTGTAGTGGTTAAAACACAAAAAAAAATGATGAGCATAAGTTTTTTTCAACATGTGCTTATTTGTATTTCATTACAATATTAATTTTTTATTTTCAAATATGATATGGGAATGTTTAACTAAGGTCATAAGTAATCTTAATGATTTTTTTCTTCCCTTCTTTCAGTGGCGAATTATTATGAGGTCCTTACATAATAATCTCTCTGTTCACACTTTTAAAACAGGAGAAGAAATACCGCTTTCAAAACCAAGTGGACAAAATGAAAGAAAAAGTCAAGAACGTAGAGGAAAAATCAAAAGAATTTGTTAACAAGGTGGAGGAGAAGAGCCATGACCTCATTCAGAAATGGGAAGAAAAGTCCAGGGAATTTATTGGCAACTTTTTAGAGCTGTTTGGACCAGACGGAGCTTGGGTAGGTATTTTGCCATCCCAGGAAATCTGAGTCTTTCTTATTTATCCTCTGTAACGCAGATCAAGAGCAGATTCTTTTGCTGCAGTCCCTGGTTTCCAAGCCAGCGCAGCAGGATCACGTCAGACCTGCTTGCTGAGCCCAGTAACACATTGCCAAAACTGCAGTGGAAGGGTTTGCTGCTTCTCTTGCTTCTTGGGGATGATTCCTGCCTTTTATGTTTGCAGAAACATTTGCCAGGGTGGTGTTCCGGGGTGAAGTGAGCTGTGGTATTTTAGTGCATTCAGTGGTAGTGCCTCACGGCAGCAACCAGTCTTGCCCTCAGCAGCCGGCAGGAGCACGTGCACACAGCAGGGAGAAACTATGCACTGGGATGGGGGGGAACAGGGAAAAGCTGTGTGATTGTTAACTTCTCGCCATTCTCTGGGCTCAGCAATGGAAGGTGATAGTCCCCTCTCTCTCAAAAATACCGGTTTAAAATTCTGAAAATGATCTTACACACAGAGTAGCCAAACTCATCTCAGTGCCTGAAGAGGAGTCTCATTTAACTCAGTAAAACCAAATCACTTTCGAAGCTGTCCTCTGATTTGTGTGGCTCCACAGAGCCAATTTGCCAAAGATACCCAGGTGAGAGTTTATAACAGTGTAGCCTTGAGGAGAAACACCAAGGCTTGACCTGCGCAAGCCAGAACCATGCAGTAAGTTGGTAGCAAGGTGCCAGTGAGCCAGGGAGTCCCAGAAGTGCCCTGGGCTCCATCTTTCAGCTCTGAGAGCTACATGACCTGCCAGGCCTTTGCAAGGTTTGCTTTCCTGCTGCACTTCCCTTTGCTACATTGAAATCAGAGCAAAGCTTAATGCGAACCTAGCAGCTCAGTTGCTTGAAAAGGCCCCTGACCTTCCTGTGAGGCATCAGTCCTTTTGATCAGTCATTCATCATGTTGCTTAACTACTCAGTTGAGAAATACCTAAAATTACTCTGTGAAGGCTCCAGAACAGAGACTGCATCTCTGTCCCACGCCAAGAGAAGGGCTGTCTCTGCAGTGCCTGTCACAGTGGTGCAGGTATCTAGCTTCTCTAGCAAATTGCTCTTCGGTGGCAGTGCGTTATTGTCCTCGGGGAAAGGAGGTCAGCAGCTCTGTGCAGGTGTGCCAGCTTGGCCACCTCCGCAGAGGGCTCTGCCAGGAGGCTGCTCCCGAGATGCCAGGCAAGCCACGTGGCTGCAGCGCGGAGGGGACCCTGCGGCCAGAGGGGCTGCCTTAGGGAAGCTTGTGGATCACGGGAAACCATGGGAGGCTGGATGAGCTGCGCTGTGCAAAGACAGGATTTCAAAGCCTTGGTCTCATTCCTCTCCTCTACCGGATCCAACTGCATACCAATGACATTTACATTTTTTTAGAACTTTTTTTTATAGCACCCCATTTATTACAGAAAATCTGCTCTGCAAAGGTCTTTGTGGGGGAAGGAGAATCCTCCTGCTTTCCTTTATGATTTAGTGTACCTGCCAGTGTGGGAAACCTGATGCCATCACAGGGATGTTTGCTAGGAAAATGTCCATTAAGGTGCAGTGAAATCAGAAATCTCCTTGCATTGTTCTATAAAAAGAAAGCTTTGGTGACAGTAAGCTGAGGTGCTGTCAGTTTCATCATCTTTTTTAAATGAGTTTGAGACAGGCACAAGGTTGTTTTTTTTTTTTTTTTCCTCCCAAATAGCAGTAACTTGCTATTAGTGTCACAACCGTTATTAACATTAATTTACTGTATCGCTGTTAGTTAGATCTGGCTTTTAATGTTGACATTTAAAAGTACAGGAAGTGTTATGGGCATATGAGATCTCTAGATCAGTAATTTGCATCCATTAATATGCTATTATTATTTCTCAAATAATTATTATAATACACTTCAGCCTAACGTCAATTTTCTAAAAGTAAAGTAAGGGCTGTGGGACCCACAAAAGATATCAGTTTCTGGAAAAGGTCAGAATGTCAGATTTCAGACTGTAAAGATGTACATAAGTTCTTTGTAATTTTGGCCACCTGTGCCCTTGTCTGTGCGTATTTCCTCTGAGAGCGACTCCGGAGGTGCCGAACAGCAGCCGCTGCCGCTCAGGCACAAAACCTTGATCCGGCTCCGAGGGTTTCGCGCAGCCGACGCTGCACCCGGCCCCAGGAGACACCCAGCTCTGCAGCAGTGAGAAACGGCGCAGCTGACTGTGCCCCGCTTCAGCCCAGTTGCCTTGCGGCCCCAAACCAGCACCTGCAAAGGGCCCTGTCCCTCGTGCATCCCAACAGGGAGCCAGGGGCGGCTGCAGGGGAAGGGGCAGTACAATTTTTGCACAGGAGCAAGTTTGCCATGCGCAGGGTATCGTCTCCCTGCCTTGTTGTGATGTGTCTGAACTGGCTTGAGCCAAGGCTTTGAAAGTCTCCTGCTGTCTGTGCCCGCGACCAGCCTCATCCAACCTTTCTGCAGTTCAAGTGATCTGTTAACATTGACTTTATTTATTCAGCACCCCCTTGCTGAGAAGTTGGTTGGTTGGTAGGTGTCGCTACCGGCCTGGCTGGAGCGCAGCCGGGAGGGAAACAGCACGTGTGGAGCTGGATGAATCCCACCCACCTCCTCCAGCAGCAGGGCCTGGAATTACCCACCATCAACATGATAAACCTGTACATTAGGGAAGGGAGCTCATCGGGTTACAGCCACGTTGCTTGTGGTTGATCTTTATCGCCTGGGCTTCCAAGGCGGGCTGGGGGGATGGACAGCCACGTGCTCCGTGACAGTGAGGAAGGACATGATGGGACAGTGTCACTGCAGGGGGAAGGGAGGAGCCACACCATGAAAACAGGCTGAGAAAGGGGGTTTCTGCTGCCCAAAGAGGCCGGCCCAGGGCAACATGCAGGATGATGCTGCTGACAGGCCAAGGGGCAGAGCCAAAGGGCAGAGGAACTTTGCCTGGGCTGGCTCTTCCCGTTGAGCTGGGCCCCTCTTTTGTCCTCCCAGGACTTGGAGCAAGGTTCAGTGTTCTTGTTCCCCATTTCCAGGAGGAGAAATGAGGCCCCCAGCTTTTTCTCTTTCATCCCGAAGCCTGCAGCAGCTGGGCAGCTTCTGCCACATCTCCTGTAACCCAGACCGACAGCCTCCCTGCGAGGCCGCGTCTGGCACCACCGCGGAGCAGCCCACCAGCTCCGGCCCATTCCCGCTCAGCCGTAGGAAGCAAATGGCAATAAAACGCAGAGCAGAATATGCAGCTTCACACTCGTTTCTCTGTTTAACAAAGACACCTGAATTCTGACACTCCTCCCCTCCTGCCACGTCGAGGTCTGGGGGCACTGGCTCCTGTGTGGCAGCAGCAGGCGCGGGGCTGGCCCCCTCCCCCCGGCGGGGGGGGGG